ATCTGGCCACTAATGCCGGCGGACTTCGGTTCATACGGTACGGCTCTTTGCACGGAAGTGTGTTAGGCGTGGAAGTGGTGTTACCCGACGGACAGGTCTTGGATCTGATGAGTCAAATGAGAAAAGACAACACCGGTTACGACCTGAAGCAGCTCTTCATTGGTTTGTGTGATATTCTTAACCATTGGTTGTGTTTGTGGACCAAATCAATGACTATTTCTCCCATATAATTAGGCTCTGAGGGAACACTGGGTGTGATCACCAAAGTGTCGATTCTGTGTCCGCTTAAACTCAAACACCAAACCGTTGCACTTCTTTCGCTTCAAAGTTACGACCATTTGTTGAGAATATACGACAAAATTCGGCGCCAATTATCCGAATACTTGACATCGTTTGAGATGATGGACGCCGCCTCTCTGGACGCGGTGGTCACTAATCTGGAGCAAAGCCATCCGCTCGGCTCTCACAACGAGTTTTACGCTATGATTGAGTTGTCCGCCAACGACAAGGACCACATGGAGAGCCGTTTGTCTCAAGTGATCGAAGAGCTTATGAGCGAACAACTGATTAGTGACGGCACGTACGCCAACGATGACAATCATAACCGCTTTCTTAAGCTCAAGTCCTATAGAGAACGCATAGCGGAAGGCCTGTTGAGAGACGGATATAGTTATAAATATGATATTTCTTTGCCATTGAATGTCTTCTACGAAATCGTTGAAGTGATGAGAGAACGGCTTAAAGATACGGATTGTCTGAAGGTTGTCGGTTACGGACACATTGGCGACTGTGAGAAATCCATACCGAGTATTGTCTGTCAATTAGTTGTTTTATATGTCTCTCTATTTCGTAGGCAATCTTCACTTGAATATAACGTCCAAAGCGTTTGATAAGCGGATAAAGACGACAATCGAGCCCTTTCTCTATGAATACGTTGCCAAACATAAGGGAAGCATATCTGCTGAACACGGCTTGGGTTTGATGAAGAACTCATACCTCAAATACTCCAAACCAGTCGAAGCCATCGCTCTTATGAAACAGATTAAGAAACTTTTTGATCCCAAAAATACCTTAAATCCAAATAAAGTTTTACCAAATGATTGAATAACTGGTTTTCTAGATATGAAATGAGCTTTTGTTGCGTTGAGATTAATCGTTATGTTTAATGGTATTATAAGATTATATTTTTAATTAAATTATTGAATAAATTTTATGTTTTTGTTGTTTTTATATATAAAACAGTTTTTTAATGAATAAAGATTACAAAAAAACATTAAATTAAAAATTTATTCATTAATCATCACGAGTGGTAAAGTTTACATCATTTACAAAATAAATAAATATATTCGTCGATAATTTACAGAATTTAATTCAATTTACTGTACAATACAATAGTGGTGTCAGTTATTGCGGTCGATATATATGTAAAGTCGAGGACTTATCTCATGAGAAGTGTTGTATGCGTTGTTGTATTTGAAGCTCAATCGGTGGTAAAAAGCGTTTACAAGAAGTGTTGAGGATCTGAGAATCAGACGCGAATCTCTGGGGCGAACGTGTCGTTAGAGGACTTGTCGTAACCGAGAGGCACATGAATGATGGAAGTGGTAGTCGTGTCGCTATTGGAGAGACACGAAGGCACTGGCGATGAGTGATGCGAATGGTGTGAGTGCTCGAAACCAAATGTCTTTTGATTGTAGTAAACCGTATCGTTGGAGCGAATTGTGCCGGCGTTGCAACACTTGCCGCCACCGCCGCCGCCCGGCGTCTGGTTGTTCACCATTTGGTCGGACGAGTGGTCGGCGAAGTTTGTGTTGACAATCTCGACGTGATTGTGGCTCAGGTTCGGTGACTTTTGCTGCAATAGCCTCTTCTCAGGTGTGGCCAATACAACCATTTCTTGGCTTTTGGGCGTCTAATGGGAAGTGAAAAAAAAACTGAATGACACTTTTGTTTGATCAGTGAATCAATCATTTTAAATGAGTTTGTGATCTCAATTCACACCAAAAACGATACGCGAGTATTGCGGGAAGAAATGCACGGAAACAACGAGTGTTTAATACAAATGATTAAAACATAGGAATCGAAGAGACGATGAAAATAAACGGCAAATACAATACACAGAATGGAGTGAAATATACACACAAATCAAGACATTAATCAAAAACTCGGTATAAATATTGAGAAATATTTTATAAGTTTATGAAGAAATAAAAGAAATAATAGGAGAAGAAAAAAAAAGAAATGCAATAAAGAATACACTTTTGACATATAATAGGAGAGGAAATATCGTTTCACACAATAAATACAATACAATAAAATAGTGACGAAAAAGTTTCGATTCTTTATTCCTTTGGCTGAGAGTTAAAAAAGAGATAACTTTTTGAAAATAGATTTTTTGGTGCAATGAATGAGAATTGAATTGAGAATAAAGAAAAGTGTGAAGAATATAAGTGAACACAAGGAGAATGTGTAGAAAAATATCATATAATCGTAAGTAAACTGTAAGGCGTGAAGAGAAAGGATAACATAATAGGGCTGTAAAGACAATACTTTTTCACAACCAGTAGTAGCGGTGATGTAAGCATTGTATGATACTATGAAAAAGGAAGGAGAGGGAGAGAGAGAGAGAGAGAGAGACTGATAGTAAAAGTTGGGTATGAGATGAGGCCTAACAAGCGTTTGGTTTACAAGAGAAAAGTTGTTGCGTTTGAATTGAATGCAGTTTTTTGTTCGCTTAGAGAAAAGACACTCACAATAGATGAGAGACAAGTGATGGAGAATATTATGGGAAAGAAGAGGGAGAGTGTATGCGAGAGAGAAAGACAGACAGACATACAGTTAGTTATACTTATAGAGAGTGAGAGAGAAAATGTGAATAAGACTTAAGAGAAATACACGTTAAGCCAAAGGGTGTTAAAGGAGATCGATATTTACATCGTTATAATGATAGCTGGAGTGATGATCACTACTACTGGCGCTCCTATTCTTAGCCTTCTTGTGATGCCTGAGCGCAGAGTTTTTGTCCAATTGATAGTAAACGCCGGCAAATATCAGCATATTTAGTATCAATAGAGAGCATCCGATCGCTATCGTCACCAATAGGGCCGTCGAGTAATTGGTTCCGATGGCAATGCCGGCAGTCATCGAGTTATTATTGGCATTCAAATTGATTCTATCGATCATTGGTATGACATCTGTGGACACAATTGACTGATTGTTGTAGAAAGTGATCACCGAATCGGTGGTCACAACCAATTGATGCGATTCATTGGTCCCGTCGTCGTTCACATTCACATCATTGGTGTTGATATTAGAGACCGGACTGTCGTACTGTTTCCGGCTCTTACTCGTGATGGAAGTGTTATTAACAGGGATTAAGTCCATCGACTTATTAGGTATGGGAGCGAAGAATTTGAAGGCGATCTGCCGGACGATGCCGTCATATGAGGCCATATTTTCGTGATCTGTTAATAAATGGTGCCTTAAATAGACCTGTTCTTCGCCCGCGTTGTGGAGACGAGGAATTAGATTCAACCAAAACGATAACCGATGGCTGTGGTAGTGATCCTTGACTCTAGGCTTAAGACCTATTTTAGGAGAGAGAGAGAGAGAGAGAGACAGCAGATATGCTTCCCTTATGTTTGGCAACGTATTCATAGAGAAAGGGCTCGATTGTCGTCTTTATCCGCTTATCAAACGCTTTGGACGTTATATTCAAGTGAAGATTGCCTACGAAATAGAGAGAGAGAGAGAGAGAGAAGGAGAGAAGGAGAGAGAGAAAGAAAGAAAGAAAGAAAGAGAGAGAGAGAGAGAGAGATAAATGAGAGGAGGAATTATAATTAATTAATTTTAGCGGACATTTGGGCACTCATTAGAGATAGATAAAGAAATGCATTAAAAGTTTGCTCTCTTTTTCATTAGAGGATAGAAAACTAGTGTTTTCTGTGTGTACTTCAGGCAAACATTTGGATAAAACATACAAATAATACAATTTATTTCTCACAAATCATACAAAATGATTGACTAATAAATAATTTTTGCCTCAAAAAATCGCTCCATAATTGAGATGACAATTGATATACAATTAGTAGTAAAAGTGAAGAGAATTTGTGGGAAAAAAAGTAAACGTAAGAAAAGTCAGAATTATGTCAAAAATATGTAAAAAAAAGTCTAATTCAACGCTTAATTGACAGCCAATTAGACGTAAAGTTAGTTATAGTTTTGGTGAGCAATTTATTCCCGTTGACAGTATATATTAGTTTTGCTGTGAATTTCATATTGTCTTTAAGCAAAACGTATACATATATTCTCTCTCCATATGTGATAACCAAATCGTGAGCTCAATATTAATCACACGAATCTATTATTCAGCGCAGAATATATTATCATTATATATATGGATGTGTTTTTTGGTTGGCATTCAATTCATGTCTAAATTGTGAATCAAAATCCATTGCAAACACTATCGTAAGGGTCTCTAAATCACGCTATAATACAATTTAAAATCAATTATTTTTTTCTGTGGCCGTAATTTTCTGTCACATAAAACATGTCTAAACGCTAGTGAGAAATACAAACTCCGTATATCTTTTTGCTGTGAATTCATAGAAATTTATTTCATAACCATAATGGATAATAACTGAGTAGTCGATGACATTAAATTCAATAAATATATGTATTATTTTGACTACATTTTTGGTATTGTAAAAGTTAATGTCATCGTTGAGCGCAAAAAATCACTATTTTATGCTAATTGCATATCAATAGGGATAGTCCAGCAATTATGTGATTCAAAAAATGATCTCGTATAATAATTGCACAGAATCTGTACTATACGTGATACTGTGATTATATGCAATTTGATATACTATACTGCTATGATTGTGACCCTCATTTCCAACCCCTGTCACTAGACATATACGCCGGAGAGAGAGAGAGAGAGAGAGAGAGAGAGAGAGAGAGAGAGAGANATCACATATGGAGAGAGAGAGAGAGAGAGAGAGAGAGAGAGAGAGATTATAATTGCAGAGATTGTGATGCATACCGAGCACGAGATACTTTCGTTGTGTGGGCTCGTATTGGGGCCACAAAACGCTCTCAAATCTGCCTTTATTTCGGTCTCCATTCGCCTCCAATTCTGTGGGCCATAGGTTTGGATCACTAATAAAAGAGACAACAAAAACAAAAATACAGTTAAACCACAACCGATGCGAGACATTGAGTCTCTATTTTCTCTTATAATTATCTATCGTGTACTCAATAGAGAGTCACAAAAGTCTGATTGAGTTTACATTTATATTATATACGTATAGAAAGGCAAAGAATCAATACTTTTCTGTGTTTCTAACTAACAATTGGTGAAATCAAAATCAATTTATTATAAAAATTAACTCTAAGTTTATATTCAAATTTTATAAAAACAGCTTAAATTGCGAGAATTGAATAGAAATAAAGTTAAATAAAAAAATTGTTTTTTAAAAGATTACCATAAATTGGTTAAATGCAAAGCGTGTGTGAATTGTTTTTTGATTTATTGTTTTAAATTGTTTCAAAATTGAAATCTAAACCCATTATTGTCTGCCAAATAATATAGAGCTTAACAAAAAGGGAAAGCCATTGGAATCTAAGGGCAAATGTAAAGCAAACGAGAGAAGAATCGCGAATAAGTGTTTGCAATCGACTCGGGAATAGAGGAAAGGATAAAATGAATGAGAGAGAGAGAGAGAGAGAGAGAGAGAGAGAGAGAGNAGAGAGATAGATAGATAGAGAGAGAGATAGAGAGAGAGAGAGAGAGAGAGAGAGAGGATAGATATATTGAGCCCCTAATAAATGTAGGATCGAGTAAATAGTAATCGTCAGTGCAATGGGAGGGGGTTTTGGCGTCTAATATATAACACTTCTGTTGAGATTAAGCAGAAATACGAGATTCAAATAATTCTGATTATTATCTTCGACTCAATCAATGCTTTTTCCTATTGTATTATGAATTGCATGTTATTGTATACCCTGTGCTCTACCAAGTGTTGTATTGATGTGTGTTTTCAATACACTACAGGCGCACAACCTTTTAATTCATTAGTTAGCGCTAACCCAGCAGTCAGTGTAGTCTATAATCAATTTTGTTTCAATTGTCTTAAGTCTGACATTTGTTTTTTCCTATGTTTTTGAAAATTCTTTTTCCAATTCAATCAACTAGATCTCTCTCTCTCTCTCTCTCTCTCTCTCTCCTTCCTTTTTCATAGTATCATACAATGCTTACATCACCGCTACTACTGGTTGTGAAAAAGTATTGTCTTTACAGCCCTATTATGTTATCCTTTCTCTTCACGCCTTATAAATCACAAAATAATTGTCATTATATTCTTGTTGTGATTTTCATAATTGCGTTTCGATTTACAATTGTCTCTCCATTTGATAATCACAGCTATTATTACGTCTCTCTCTCTCTCTCTCTCTCTCTCTATTCCAGAACCTAATCATTGAATTACTAAATTAAAAACAATATAGAGTACAATATAATTAAAGAAAAACAAAAAAACCATTATTTGTGTTTCATTTGACAGTAAATGAAGGAATTGAGACCCATATTGAATGTCTAAAACGTTTATCTGGTATTTACTGATATTTAATGTCACAAACGATAGCACATGGGATGAGATAATTATTTAATTAAAATNCCATTATTTGTGTTTCATTTGACAGTAAATGAAGGAATTGAGACCCATATTGAATGTCTAAAACGTTTATCTGGTATTTACTGATATTTAATGTCACAAACGATAGCACATGGGATGAGATAATTATTTAATTAAAATGTTTGCCTCTTTGAACGGCAAAAGGGGTTTACAGATACATCTATCAAACGAACCCATATTTGATGAAATTAATCCAATAAGCCATAAGCCCTTCGGAAAGGCTAACTTCGGTGCGGCTATAATTCTGGGCGAACTGTGCCATGGATTTGCCCAATAGGTGCTGAGCGAGTGGTGCGCCAAACATGTAGGCCAGCTCTTCGCCGTGAGCGCAGCCCAACCTCTGGTGAAACTTAGATCCCTCTTCGCTCTGCGGCAGAAGCAAAGGGTTGTGTTGTTATCCGATAATTATGTCATAATTATATCGTTTAGTTGACAATCAAATGATGGATTCGCGTCCAGGGGTTTACCTGATGTACGAAAACGTAGAAAAATGTTTTGCCTCTTGTCTGAGGTCTGGCACTTGACGACTGCCTGTGATATGGCTTCGTAGGCATGAGTGGCCGCGAATGCAAGTCTCCCGTCTCGATGACCGGCGCCACCACCAGAGCGTCGCTCATTATGTCCAGCAATGAGTCCAATAAATTGATGGGATGCTCAACAGGACGCGTCCAATCCGTGTATTCATTAATCAATGTCAACAGTATTGCCTATAAATATCATTTATTAATACATTTAGATATATTAATCTGGATATTATTGATATATGGGTTCCCCAATCCCTGATCGCAATACACTGTACAGTAGTATAGGTGCGAGAATTTAATGGTCGCACCAATGAATCAAACACCAAATTGAGACACATATTAAATTGGCTCTCTTTTTGTGTGTTTGTTGTCTCACTTTATTCCCTATTAAGTAACCAATATATTCACTGAAATATGAGATATAATTGGTATAAAAAAGCGTTAAAATTAGTTTAGCTTTTAATGAAAGTACGGGTTTACATGTTGTGGTCAATTATTTTTGTTGTCTAATAACAGCGTTCGTATACAACCAATACTGTAGTTACACACTGTTTAATACACAATTCAGTGTTGAATTATATATTAGTTTTCAATGTAATGCCTATATATAAGTAGAACTCAATTATTTTCTGAGTTAATCCAAAATCAACATATTAAATTGGCTCTCTTTTTGTGTGTTTGTTGTCTCACTTTATTCCCTATTAAGTAACCAATATATTCACTGAAATATGAGATATAATTGGTATAAAAAAGCGTTAAAATTAGTTTAGCTTTTACTAAAAGTAAAGCATTATTGTTCTGAAAGTTTGGTTTACATGTTGTGGTCAATTATTTTTGTTGTCTAATAACAGCGTTAGTATACAACCAATACTGTAGTTACACACTGTTTAATACACAATTCAGTGTTGAATTATATATTAGTTTTCAATGTAATGCCTATATATAAGTAGAACTCAATTATTTTCTGAGTTAATCCAAAATCAATAGAGGAGAGAGAGAGAGAGCGAGAGAGAGAGAGCGAGAGAGAGAGAGAGAGAGAGAGAGACGTAATAATAGCTGTGATTATCAAATGGAGAGACAATTGTAAATCGAAACGCAATTATGAAAATCACAACAAGAATATAATGACAATTATTTTGTGATTTATCCTCTCATACACTCCGGTAATCACACAATCATTTGAATGCCATATACTGTATATACAATAGCCTACAATTCAATACATGTATATTCTGTAAGTATAATAACAAACAATATAAAGGTTTTCATCGAAAGCGTAAGGCATTCAAGATTAATGAAGCGATTCATACATATTCTCAACCATTTCCTCCTTCAGTCTTCTGTGCCAACGAAACAACGAAATCAGTTGTTTTTTTTGTCTTTCATTTCATTCCTCTTCATCTTATTCTTCATACGGATTAATGAGTGAATGAATACCTCATTCACTAACCAATATTTCTAGTCATAAGGACTTTATTTCACTGACTTTTTGTGTTTTTTTCCTTCTGAGTCAAACTTTTTTAATTTTTCATGTCTTATTAACACTAATTTGAATACATTTCATATTCATTAAGTATTTTATGCACAGACGAGAGGCAGAGACAAAGTGTGTGTGAAAAAAATGTTATGAATAATTATCATAGAAAAAATTCTTGACACTAAATAATAATTGTTTCAATCAATTGTAATTAAATTAATGAATTAACTGAACGCTAAGCATAAAAGTGTATTATATTTGTGAATAAATTATATCACCAGTAGAGTGTAGTGTCGTATAAATTGTGCATTAATTTAGTTAATAATTGTTAAAAATTAATTTTGAGTAAAATATTCAAAAGCAAATTAAATTAATTACTTAATTAAAGAAATAAAATATTCAATGAATTATCGATTGGATGACAAAATTTTGGTAAAAATACGAGATTAACGTGTGATTTGGTGGCCAACACACCAAAGCCCTGACACTCGGATAGCAATTATTTATCCGCAAGAATCGCAACGAGAGGTCAATGTCTTAAACAAGTAATCATAGGATTTAGGAGTAAAACCAAATCGAGTGCTCAATTGACTTAACGATCGGCGAA